CCCACTGTGAGGGGACTCAGTGCCTCTGTGCTATGGATCCTTTGACTGTTTCAAGCTCCTGGTGCCTAAATGGCATCTAGCCACTGCCAGCCCCAATCTTTGTGTTTCTTGGTACATTCCCAGGGCTCAGACCTTCCATGTGGCACATGCTCCACTGTAGTCTTGGAACTCACTATCCAGTCATCTGGACATTCTGGGTTCAGAGCTGACTCTTCAGCCTCCCCAGTGGAGCCAATAGACTTGCCAGGCCCCTGGCTGGCTCCACACTTCTAGAAAGGACAGGGCTGGGGGCAAGCAGGCCTCAGCACTGTGGGGAGTGTGCTGCGACTCCCCCAGAGCGCAGTGGGCTCCAGGGCAACTATCCCCTTTCCTCCTGTTAGCAGGCACGCTCTCCAGTTCTTAAACACACAACCCACCCAGTGCCCCACCCCACAGGTGTCAAGCTTCTAGTTACAGTTTAACTCTCACGGCCGCACAGTAGTTGTGAAGCAGTTAACACACACTTTCCTTAACAACTATAATAATACAAGCCAATTAGCCTTTGAAACAGCCATGTCTCTGACTTCCTATTTATCCTTCCCTTGTGAGTCCTGGGGGAACCATTGGAAAGTTGGCAGGCAAGATGTTCCCAGGGATGCTGGAATTAGCTGTGCTGAGGCTGCGGCAGCACCCCATGGCTTGAGGTACTCATAACAGCCCAAAGACATGCATTCCGCGTTAGGCACCCCTCCGTGTTTCCTCCTCATGCTGACTGTCACATGCTAACTAGTCTCTCCCTCGTGGAATTGCTTTCCAAAGCTTCTGTGACCTAGCTGTCTTCTGCCTCACACTTCCTCTTGCTGACCCCTTGTTCTTATGTGTTCCTTAGTAGTTTTTTCTTGGTCACCTGATCTCTTTTGTTCTTCTCTCAGTAAGGTTTCCTTACTCTCAAGCTCTGCTCCCTTCAGACAACAAGAGGACGTTTCTTCCCCCAGCTACAGCAAACCCCAAGGTGTTTCACTCTGAATACATGATCACTGACGGTTGATCACACGCTGCTGTCTCTGGCCTGGCAGAGATGTAACACAACCCTGCTAAGCTCATGGTGGAGCCACATGCATACAGGCTTTCCATGACACTGTAATTTCATGATATAATTTCGAAAATCATCCCTAATTCAGAAGTGATACTGACCAAACTCCCCAATCATACAAAGCAGCAGCCAAGTCATGAGAATAAAGAGTTCCATTGCCAAATGCAAGAGTTTATTAATGCTTTACGGAAACGCAATCTGTTGCTGATTTCATGGGGATTATTAAAAAAGTTTTTTAAATTTGCAATGTAACAAAGAGGCACTGATTGAGAGAGCTCCACAAACAAGGGTAATGGCTCAGGCAGTTTTGAAAATCAGCTTGCCCTTGCAAATATTTTATTTCAACGCCACTGAGAAAACTGTGTGTGGAGCTCTTCACGGCAGCTCTATGGGAATCAAATCTATTATACAGCTTCACCGGAAAGATGAGGAGACTAACATTTCCAAAGAAGAAGGAGGGAGAGGAAAACTGCACCAAATGTTGTTACTAATTCAAAACCCTCGCTACTTCTTTCACTATAGTGTTTCACCTTAATTGCCCTGAGGAATAATGTAGCCAGAAATGGAAAGTGGTTTGAAGTTTTATGAATTCCTGAAATGAAAGAAGAAAAATTAATGGTAAATGTGCTGTAGGTACATCTACAGAGGCTGTAATGAAATCATGGACCTCCCAGAAAGCATATAGTAAGTTCAGTAGTCAAAGCAAGATGCCAGGATAGTTAGACTATGAAGGGAAAAACAGAAATGTACCTACTTAATCTTTCAGTGCTGAGGTGGGCAAAATTCCCATTGAAATCAATACTGTGCACAGGGGGTGGTGAAATACGACAGAGGCATTTGTCAATGTACAAAATTACAAACTCGAATGGGAGCAAGAAGAAGGTTGTTTGGAACTACAAATAACTCTGATAGCATATAATACATGCAAAGTGACTGAAAGGAAGAGCAAGAGGATGTGTGCTGCTTCGGTCATCCAAAAGGAACCAGGGTGAAGACAGGCTCATGATTCCTTATATAATTCTGGATCTAAAAATTTGGTTCCACTAGGGGTGATACGTTTGGCTCCAATGGTCAACACATCCCAGAGGGTTTCAGCCCAGCACTGAGGGCACATGAACAGTCATACAAGTGGAGGCCTACTCAGACAATTCTCATAGAACTAATGAACATTTTTGGATACAGCAGGTGCATAAGTACAAAAGCTCTGAATAAGCCTTTAAATCTCCAAATCATCCTCCTTTTAAGGTGCTACCAATGAAGAGACAGAAAAAAAACTTTCTAAGCAGTAGATCTGGTAGAGTGAATTAGCTATTGCACTGAGTAAGTCATTTCCTTAGCTTCTCTCAAACTCCAGATTTGCTGAACTTGTTTAAATTTTATCTCCAAAAAAGAAAAAAATGCTGAACAATTGTTTTGATTTGGAACCATGCATCAGCCCATAAATTATCCGCCCTCCAATAGATAACATGATTATAAATTAGACAGACGTTGTGCAAACATAGAAATTGGATAAGAACACAATGGGGTTGGGTGGTTTTTATTTCAATTTCAACCTTAAAATTCAATTGCACCTGCCAAATTTTATAATCAAAGAATTTAGAGTTTCCTGTGGGGGAAATGTCCCTTTTTCAGATCCAAGAAAGGAATTCTGCAGTCCTGGAAAAGAAGGGGGTGGATTATGTCAGCACAGTAGTTTCAAGTGAGAAAACAAGCAACAGTTTTACTAACAATCCTGTGGGGTAAACCGTTTCAGATCAGTAGTGTGCCAATTTATCTAACACATGGTTATTGTCAGGGAAGTGACAATTCAGCTACATTTCTGCACTTTTGTCCCTTCATATGCTACTTTTTTGCTTCTCCAGGCAGTTTAGGAGAAACCCATATAAGGGATTTATGCTTTTGAAGACAACTTATATTTCCCAAGGAAGAAGTTTGTTAATAGACTCAAACCCAACAGTTGCTTAATAGTTAGTGATTAGAAAAACTGGATCACAGAACAGGTATGTGTCTTTTCCTTTCTCCAACCTTTTCAGTACCTCTCTAGTTTGCCAAAATCTCATCCAACTTTTGCACTTTGGAGTTCATCTTAATGTGAAACGTTTAACACAGCCCTACATGAATGAAGAGTGATTTATTGCTATTGTGTGAGGAGTCCCTGCAGCATGAACTGCTGGGATTGCAGAGGCCTAACGTAAGGCAAAAGCCTTCCAAAGAGTCAGATCGAGCTGAACTGATTAGCCCAATGCTGGTCTCTGTCATTATTTCTTCAGTTAGTTTTTTAGAAAAGATCCTTGCCTCCGACTTAGCACGGAACTCTTGCCTGTGTTTAAAACTGCTGTGGTCAGTCTGTTCTTTGATGGCACAAGTCAACACAATCCAGGGCACTTTATTTGTTCATTCAAAACACTAGCACAGGAGAAAAATAAATCGGAATCACAGTGATGCACATTTTTGCTGGACAGCTGCACTAGAATAACTGTAGTATGTAAGCCTCTTTTATATCCCAGCCAGTAAATAAATAGATGACATGTAAACAAGACTTACATAAACTAATACCACTTGCAGAAAAGTTAAAAATAGAGTTGTTGAGAGGCTCTGCTGTTTAATGTACTTTATAATGCAAATGAAGCCCCCAGCGGCCAGCTCCTTGGCTGAAGAAAAGCAGCACAGCTCCATTTACTTCAATGGAGTTAAGCTGATTTATACCCACTGAGGAACTGTCTCTCAGTGTAATATAGAAGTCTCAACAATTTGGACTCTCTGCACACCAGTTTCTGTAACTCTCATACAAAGGTTCTTCACTGGATTGGCAGTGTTTGCTATGGGTCGTTCATGACAAATATGGAATCAACATCATCTCAGCATGACAGCCAAGCTCAGGGATCCGTTCAAGCTGTATCCTCTTCATGCTGCTGTCTGGTTGCAAAACATTAAGTCTATGCTGCCCAGACTGGACAAAGTTGGAGGAGTTCCATCTACAAAGCCAATGTTGTATATTGGACATAAAGTGAAATGACTGCCTTTGTCGTGCAGAAGGTGATGGTCTCTGTGGTCACAGACAACTTGGGCCATTGTCCGCAGCTGGAGTCTTACACTTTTTGGACATATTGCCAGAATCCTGAAGGATGTTCTGCTGAACATAGTTCTCCGGGTGACTCAGAATATCCACGATAAAAATTCCACCAACCAAGGATGGAGGTGGCCCAGAGGCAGACCCTCTGTTACATGGGTGTATCAACACTGTTCCAATGTTGGACTTCTGACCCATCAAGTCCTTGTGACCACACGGGAACTGACCAAATGGTGAATGATCGCTAAAGCCAACCCTTTGGCAAAGTGTTTAAGAAAGGGAAGAAACAACAACTGGAGAGTCTGGTGGTGACGAGGATCTAGAGTAGGTTTTCAGAAGCTGGTTTGAGAGGTATCCTAGGGAATGTCTGTACTAGCCCCCTAGTTTGAACTAGGGAGGCTAATGTAGGCATTCGAAGTTGCAAATGAAGCCCGGGATATTTAAATCCCGGGCTTCATTTGCAACTTCGAATGCCTACATTAGCCTCCCTCATCTGTAAACTGTCAAAGAAGAATTGCTCAACTTCTGCTCACAATATTCTATTAAGATTTACTATATGGCTACGTCTACACTGGCCCCTTCTTCGGAAGGGGCATGCTAATTTTGAACTTGGGAATAGGGAAGTCTGCGGGGGAAGCTGGAATAGGAATAAGAGATCCTCCGGAAAAGGGCTTTATTCCGGAGGATCGCGCCAGTCTAGACGCTTTTTTCCGGCTTTTCCCCAAGCCGGAAAAAAAGCGGCGGACACGTTTATTTAAATCCCGCGGGGGATATTTAAATACCCCGCGGATTTCCCTATTCTGACTTACCTGCTTTGCATGACTTTTCCGGAATTAGGGGCCAGTCTAGACGTAGCCCTAGTGACTTACACTAAACCTTTGTTTTGTGGGTTGATAGACTGCCTTGCTTTTTACTGCTGAGTAAACATTGGAACATAAAAACCATGCAACCTAATTCAGATAATGGATCATTTCATTTTACTGGAGATAATCTCTAAATATCAGTGATCTGTCTTTTTAAACTATGCAGGAAAAATAGGTGCATTACAGATGACAATGCCGTTGCATTACACATATTGGCAGCCTCTCCAGGATGGAGAGGCTCTATTTGGTTATAAATCCCAAGTAACAGAAATATTAATGTGTCTGCAGACTGGAGACCAGATTTTCAAAGGAAATAGGGCTACTAAAGAGATTTCTAAAGGTGCCTAAGTAATTAGGTGTCTAACTCCCATTGCAAGTAGGTACAGGCTTAACTTGGAAATCAGTGGGGGTTAGGCATCTAACCTGATTAGGCATTTTTTAAAATCCTATTAGGCATCAGGTGTCTAAATACATTTGAAAATCTGGCCCTAGATAATATGAATGTCCATTTCAGAAGAAAGATAAGGGCCTTAATATGTTAAAAATGATCAAGGAAATTGCAGAATCTGCTAGCAGAATACTTCTGGTTGCCTTTACCTACCCCTTCACCTACCTTGCCATCACTTTATGAATCATTCAGGAGACAGTAGATGAGAGAAGGTGTAGGGATGGCAGCTGGGTCACTATTATCACAGCCATGTCAGGTTTGATGTTGTAAAGGACGATTCCTCAAGGAAGAAAATGGTTAGCAGCAGCCTCAAGGGGAAATGACAACAATTTAGGTGGGATATTTAAGAGACTATCCTGAATAACTCTGCTCTGTGGCACACACAGAAGTAAAGCTGAACCTATACCACAGGTGAACCTACAGTCTAAAAGGTAAATCAATAAAAAGAGAGTAAATCCTACATAGTTAAGTAGAGAAATATTACTTTGTGAGAGGCGGGCAAGCATCCTCAGTGAAGTGGAAATCAACGATCAAGTTAGATTAGAACAAATTCAAGGCTTATGGGTATTTCAGTGTGCAAATAAAGTCAGTATAACCATTGCAGATCAATTGCTAGGCAGGATGAAATTTCAAAAGGAAAGGTATGAAGAGATGAAATATTGTCAAGGATAGTCAACCAAAGATTGTTTTAATGGGGCCTTGCAGATTTACACTAGTTGAGGATCTCATACCAAGCTGTATGAGTACTGTTGAGCTGAGAAGGCTGCGTGTGTAACTTTAGGATCTTAAACTCACAGTGGCAGGAAGGTGCAGTTTCAAAGGGTTCCAAGGTGTAAAGAGAACATGTGGAAGTCCAATTTCTCAAGACAAGCTGTACAAAATTTGGCTGTTGTGCTCTTCAGGAGGCTGCAGATCTCCCTCTTGATTTCAGTTCATGAAGGTTCACACCCTTTAAGGTTTATTTTTGTGTTCTGGGATTTGAGGAAACCCCAAAACTCAATGGGAAACCGATTCAAAAGCACAGAGATTCATCTGGTCTCACATCCTTACCGTGCAAAATCCGCAAGCTTGTGTGGTTTTGGTGTGAAGTCATAAATCAGTCCAGGTTCATGCAAAGGGTTTCCAAACTGCAGCAAATCTTTAGGTGAATTTAGACTTAGTTTCAGATTATTTTTATGTAAGTTCCCTTCTTAATGTGATCCTTCATGGTTTTTTCATTAGCAAACATCTGGAAATTGCATGTTATATTAATATGGATCTCTCCCCCTCTCGCTTTCCCTTTTGTTTTCTCTCTCTCTCTCTCATACAAAGACACAGAAGCAGAGCTGAAAAGAAAGAAATGTGTGTTAAAAGATTACAGTAACTTTAGGACTGTGAAAAGAATGTTCTCCCTGCTTTTACCAACTAAGAAGCCTGAACACCTCTCTCCAGACGGCAGAGTCTCATTTTGGTATATTTGAATTATTGCATGAATTTACAAAAAATGCTTATATTAGACTCTAGCACAAAGGTCACAAGGAATAAATATATTATCTTAGGTATGCTGTTGTCCAATCATTAATTTGCCATGTGTTTTCATAAAGCCATAAATCCAGAGAGCTAAGAGGTTGGGTGCTTATATTGCACAACCTGAGAGCCAACAGGAATAAAGTAGTGACATTTAAAAACTTTTAAAACAATCCTGCACAGAACTCTGACAAAGCTTATTGTGTACAGCAAAAGGTCTATAGGCAAACAAAGCATCAGTTGTCCACTTTCAATGGGCTTAGAATTGATGTCATAAAGGTGTGTGGAAGGGGAAACTACAGAAGAATAAGAACAATTGAGTAGGAAGTAGTCGCTGAATTGATAATACTGAGGATCAGAGCTGGACCCAGTTTCATTTACTAGCTGTGTCAAAATGATGGGCTGGATAGGAGGAAACAATGATTTCAAGTGCTTGTCTATTTCTTTATGCTCTTGAGTCTGTTTTAATAAATAACCTTTTGTCAGAAAACTGACAGGCGTAGAGAAGAGAAATAACTGAAAGGTTTTCTTTGTATTTTGAACCAAAAATCTCAACATAAATATTAGCTTCTACACACAGCTCTACCTGAATCTCTCCTTCTTTCAGAAGGCATGGTCTCAAAGACAACTCCTTGTTTTGGATTTAAAGAACCAAAAGAACGCTGCAGCATCATTGTGTCCGAAATAATGAGGACCTGACAATGAGAATGGTTTTGGGACTGCTTAAAGGATTTCCAGGTAGTTCAGTGCAAGACTGCCTGGTTTTGGTTTATGTGGGTTTCAGCTACTCTTTCCATGGGGTTTGGTTTGTGAGAATTCTCATCTATTGAATGTTGGTTTAAGTGATAGATTTGTTCCAACCCAGTATGGTGAAAATCTAACAGTCTAAACAAAACTGGCTAGTTTTGATGAGCTTCACTGCATGTGGCTTCATGAGGACTCAGAAGGATTATGGTATTTCTGGTCCAGTTTTGCAAACCTAAGAGGGTCAGCTAAACATCAGAACTTCAGTTTGCTTATCCAAACTAACCTGTATCTTCAAAGCTTTAGCAATTTATCCCATCTCTCACATACAGCCCTCTTTGGTTGGAACTAGAAAAGCAAATCTCTTCTGAAGATAACCCTTCTCACGTGTAATAAATGTCAAGACACAGAGAGATCATTATTTTGGCACAAACATCATGAAAGTTCCCTCTGAAAATTCCTCTCCAAATCCTGATCAGTAATTACTACAGAGCTGTGTAATAATTTTATTTTATCATGTTGGATGGTGGGAGGAAGAAGTTGCACACCTTCTTTTTCCATTTGGAAGGACAGTAGTAAGAACAACGGAGGATATCACTGGGATATCTGGCAGGGAAGAATTATACTTTAGCAGAAGAACCAGATGCTACTTTGGAGCATTGTGGTTTAGCATAGATTTTTCATTTTATAAAAAGATGCTATTTTTGTACTACTGGCCGGGCTTATATTCCTGCTTGTTGGACAGGATAGTTCAAATTTCCTTTTAATTCTGTATTATTTGGCCTATAGTGATCAGCTTTAACAATTACCGGGTCACAGAATTCTCTCTCTCTCTCTTTCTTTTGTTTGTTTTGTGTTTTGGGGGGGTGGTTTTTATTTCTAAAAGACCTTATATCAGAATACAAACCCTCTCCCTCCTACATATGCCCACACACTCCAACAATGCTAGGATTATGCTGATGATAACATCTTCATTCCTGTGGACAGACGATGCTAATACCCAGGTGTTTCTCTACTCTTTCCAGGGCTGGCTTGGAATACAAGCAAAATAAGCAGCTGCTTGGGACCAGGCATTCCCAGGCAAGCTCAGCAAGCCATCAGGCAGCCCTAGCTCCACTTCCAGCAGTGAGACCAAACTAGGTAGAAACAACTTACAAGCTTACACAATCTCCCCTTCTATTCAGAGCAGGCAAGAAAGGGTATGTCTAGACTGCAAGCTTCTTTTGAAAGAAGTTTTTCTGGAAGAGATCTTCTGAATAAACTTCTTTCGAAAGAGAGCGTCCGCACTGCCAAAGTGCATTGAAAAAGCCATCTGCTTTTTTGAAAGAATGTCCACACTGAATGGATGCTATTTCACATGTAAGCTGTGATTACTATGGACCGAGAGGCCACCAGGGCACTTGTGCTTTTTCCTCTTTCCTCTTCTTCCAAAAGAACACCCTCTTCCTCCATCCACACACTCCTTTTTGCGAAAGAGCTCTTTTGGAAAAGGCTTCTTCCTCGTAGAATGAGGCTTACCATTGTCAGAAAATGTCAGCCTTTTTTCTGAAAAAAACCTGTAGTCTAGATGCACCCAAAGGGACAACTCCTGGCCTAGTTCCTCCTGCTTCCCCTAGTAGCATGGAATTTGAAAACTGTATGGTTAGCCTGAGTTTCTTCTCACCTTTCTTCTTGCTGTCTGTCTAAAGAACAGACCAGTTTATATTGAGTAATCTTACCAATGCTCTGCTGACATGACAGGTGTCACAGCACTAGAAGAATTCAACACACTCCTGCTTCAGTTTTCTCTAAGCTGGGCTCTTTGTGTTGCTCTTGCATTTTCAACCTTTCAGTTTCTTCGTCCCTAGAGGAAGACCTGAGACAATGCCTAAAAGAAAAGGGTTTGTAACATGTGTCAAGTTACCCAGCGAGAGCCCTTTATTCCACTCTTTGTAATTCAAAATGGCATTTGCCATTGCTATTGGAAGCCGAGCCCTATTTAAACTTTCACTCATTCTGGGGAAATGAAGTGCTGAAGGACAGGGTAGTGAAGCGTAGGTGAGCTCAAGCATCTCACATGTGTGGGAATTTCATAAGAAAAAGGCAGCTGTTGTGCTGCCACCGGCAACCTGGAGCCTGTTTCAGGCTGCAGGTTGGGTCTCAGTTGTACGTGGGATTCAGTTCTCATTGCTGAAGGAATAGATTTTACATGATGAAATGACAAGCGATTTCTGTCTTGGATGTGCTGTGCATTGAGCACAATGAAATCCTGTTTATAAGATTCTTCAAACAGGAAAAAAAGTATTTTCTGAACTAAATTTTTCTACATGACTATAGGCATCACTATACGAGATCAGACTAGTTCCAAATACTCTGGCAATTTTATTTTTAGGGTGCCTAGCGCAATGGGGCCCAAACCTGACTAAGGCCTCCAGGCATTTCTATATAGATATAATAATACAGGTGAGTGTAGCCAATTCTACAGTGCTATGTATGGGAAGCTTCCCAGTTCTGCAAGCAATCTACTGCCTGCTGCATCTGTCAGTACGTGTTTTTACAGTGCCTCACACACTGGGGCTTCAATCTCAAATGCAGCTTCAATGTGCCTCTAAAATACAATGATAAATAAATTATACATAATGTTCTAATGCAAAAATAATACTTTTACACAAAGCTCTCAGTCTTGAGGGAAAATAACAGATAAAGCATATACTGTACTGTGTTATAAATCCATGCGAACTCCGTTAGTAAGGCTGTTCCATCAATAGTTTACAGGTCTTCAAATTTCTAAATAAAATTGTAGCTCAAATTTCTGTAAAACTGCCTTAAATCGTACATGTTTGTAAAATCCTCATTAACATTTGGACCTTGCCTGGCCTGAGACTCATTTGCTAAATCACAAAGGGTCTGAGAAACAAAAGAAATGCTTTATTGCTCAGAACTGGACACAGCAAAGCATTGGGGAATTGGAAACCAATGGCAATATTTTTGAATTCTGTAATGGTGCATCTACACAGCACCCTTACACTCAAAATAAGCTACGCAAAGTAGCACAAATTACGTAGCTTATTTTGAGCTATTTCGAAATAGTTTATTTTGTAATTTGGCACTGTCTACGCAGCGCCAAATTTCAAAATAACTCATTCATCTGAAATGCCCCTTAACCCTCATGGAACAAGGGTTACTGGGACTTTGAAATAAGCCACCCATTATTTCGAAATCTATTTTGAAATAATGGGCTGCTTCAATAAAAATGGAATAGTTATTTTGGGGTACTTCCGGTATCCTGAAATAGCTCCACAGCGTAGACATACCCTAATAGTGCTGGCCTCTCTGACCCATGCTGTAGTCGGGCCAGATCACAGTGGAATGGCACTTTTGCTGCATGGAAGATGCCATTTTGCTCTGAAAATGGAGTCCTCTATATGGTGACAATGCATTTGAGGTCACATTGGCAGAGGCATTCAAATAGATGCCCATTCAGAACTACCCCACTGCATCTCACCAAGTTCCAGTTAATCCATTGGGCCTGTGGAGAAAATAGGATGGGGATATTTATGCCCATTCACTGCTGGACTCAACATCCCTTAATTTTGTGTCACTGCCCCACTTCTAAGTCTCCCCAGAATCATTTAATTGTTCAGTTCTGTGGCTGAGTTTATTATCTTGAATTAAAATGGAGATTTTCACTTCAGCATAATTACCTGCTTGGGCCCAATTCTGCAGGGTGCTGAGTTCCTTCCGCTCCCTCTTATCTCGGGGCAATGCTGAGACAGAGGGTGGATACTATCATAAAGGTTCCTGGAAGCTGTCCTTCTCTACCTGCCACAGCAGCTACTTCTCAGAGAAGAACCACTTACATGTGCTAATCAAGTAACTTCATGCAACGAGTCCCTTATTAGACATTTGTGCATGCAATAATCCAATATTTTCTATACTGTTGATCAGTTAAATTATGGGAGCAGATTTGAAATGCTTTTGCCCACACATCTTGCATATAGACATGTGGCCCTAACTTTAAAAAGATATGACTCCTACTGGATCCTACTCTCCATATGCTCTGTTAGTTGCAAGCATCAACAGCTGACATATTCATGTTATTTAAATTTCCCCTCCTTCAACCTGATGAGTGAGCCGTCAGCAGCGACCTCTCTGACTGCTAGTTACTGAAAATGGGAGAGGACGCTTAGGGAGGAATCAGCCTTACTTAGAGTTGGTTCTGAACCAAAACCCTGAATCTGGATTCAGGATCTGAGTTTCAGCTCAAATCTCCATCTCTAAGGGCCCAAACTTGGACATTGAATCTGACCACCCTGAACTCTGGGAAAGCTTGCCTTTGGATTCCCTCTGTCCAAGTCTCAAAGTTTGGAAGCACTGTTTTGGGGCTGACCACTGTGGAAATGTACAGATGGATCAGGATGTGGAAATTGGATCTGAAGTTTCAGTTTAGGCCCATTTCCAATCTTTAATATTAAAGCCTAATAATTTCAGATCCAGACAGCTTCTACTTTGCCTTGTGCTATTTTGCAGCGCTTTGTGCTGTCCAGGGATCACCAGGAGCTCACGATACATTAATATTTACCATTTCCTGCAGCTAGTGCCATGGCAAGTTGTAGGAGGGTGTGAGTGCATGCCCCTCTGTATGTTTATTTAGCTGTGACAATATCACAGGCCCCAGATCTGAACAGCTGCAGCAACAGAAAGCCCCTGGAAGGGCAGCTAATCCATCTGCCCATTATGGGCTGGTTACAGGCATACTGGGTTCAAGATGCTGACTTTTGTATTGCCTCTCTTTGTGGCAAGGCAATATATCCCTAGGTCGAGGAGCATGGCTCGCCAGTAGCACACTTTATTCAACTGCTCTACACCCTGGGAAACCAGGCCTCGTTGGATCTTTGTAACAGCAACCATGCCAAACTGCTAGCTGCCTTGAAAGATGCAAGGGGTGGCTGACAATTACTGCTCCTCCTTGTCTGTGACAGAATAGCATATGCTGGGCTCTTATCTCCTGAAACGTTTTAGATTTCACCTGTCTCTAGTTATTCCAGACAGCAGGATACATTATTTGGTTTCTAAGACCTGGGATGGCCTTTTGCCACACAATTAAAAAAAAAAGGCTGCCTGTTTGCTGTGCTTTAAGGTACACTGCCAAGTTTTGGCATTTGGTACACAGTAGCAGGTCAGGTTCTTCATGACTAAAGTGTTTCAAAGGTCTGCTCTCCACTGTGTAATTTAAGATTTCTTCCTTGTCATTTCACAGCTGGAAAATATTTTAAATGAACTGCCCAGAACCCATGACTCAGTAGGACAATGGCACAGACATTTTACATCTGAGCTACTTACTGCAACACTGTCTCAGAGCATATAAAAGCTGAGGTGCTGAAAAAAAGCAATAGGCAAGGTTCCGTGAGCATAAATTTCTGCAGTTAATGTGCTTTTCGCTTCTACAGATGCTCTGATGCCAGAGTGATGGGCAGCTGCACCAAAGCAGTCCCTGCTTTAGGTAGGGAGCTGGACTTGATCTCCTGAGGTTTTTTCCACCCTGGGATTCTATGATTCTTTGAAATCCTTGCCAGAGGATGTCATGAAGACCAGGACTTTAACAGGATTCAAAAAATAATTAGATAAGAGCTAGATGAATCTTTGATCTGACCCAGGATGGTCATTCCTGTGTTCTTAGGTAAATCCCTAGAGAGAGACTGCAGACAAATTAAGGTTTGCATCTTAAAGAACCTTCTTGCCAAGGGCAAATGATGAAAATGTCTCGTAACGATGATTGCCCTTCATTAGCCATGTGTATGCATGGGTTCTGTGCAGCCACAGAAATGGTGCCTGCAAACGTGCTGCACAATGGTGCATACAATATGCATGGCATTTAGTGTGCCTACAGTTTGGAAAACCTGTATTTCTTCTGTATAATTAATGCTTCACTCAGAGCAGGCAGGGAGGGCCTCCTACTCTCCATATGTTTTATTGCTAATTGCAAGCACAAAGCGCTGGCATTTTGGTTACTGTGCTCTCCGTTTCCTTGGTCACTTCTTCCAAACAGATGTGTTTTCATGCTGAACTATCTCCTTTTCTGCAGATCCTGGTTAGCTGCCTGCAAGTGGGTGGATGCACTGAGAAGACAATGGGGGACACTATCTGTTGTTCTGAGTGTAAATGGGGATTTTACAAGCTGGTAAAGAAAAGAAACATTTTCATACAGTTTCCCCTTATGGAGTTTCAAATGCACTAACCTAAATTATGTTCGTTGATCGAAAGGAAATCTATGTCTTCAAGGCCAAATCCTTTCTTGCAGTCTCTGTTGCCAAAGAGAAAGCCGGGCACATGGCACATTTCTCCTCACTGAAGGCTTGCAGAGCACATCAGGTCTCTGGTAGTGCCAGGAAGCAAGACTTAACATAGCAGAGTGCAACCAGGGAATCCCTAGTTAAAGGCTTCCATCACTAGTCATTGACACAGCAAAATCCCTCTTCTTTGGGTGTGTTAGCTTGCATAAATTGGCCAGTGCCTTTCCAGAGGCCAAGCAAAGGTTATGTAGGGTGGAGCCTTGACCAATACTTTTGAATATGATCTATTTCAGTTAGTGGTTTACCTCCAGGAATGCTAGCTCTGTAAGTAGAGTGACACAACTGCAGTGATTGTTAAACATCAGCATGGCTTTCTGGATTGATAGATGTTTGGAACCAGAAAATAATGTAAATGACAGGGAGGATAAACAGGCATGAACAGCAAAGGCAGCTGCTGTGAGAGTCAGCATTCACCCCAGCTGCCCATTCTAGAATGGGTGGTGTTCATTCCAGAATGAATTTTAGGGAAGAAAGAGGTTCTGTGGGAAGGATGTGGCACAAGAGGATTTCTGGGATGATTGAGAATGGCTGAATGTATGGATCACATTAGAGTGGATTACCAGAGAGTGATAGGCATTATCCCTGGACTAACACAAGCGGGAAACTCAAGACACAAAATGCAGCCCATGTCTACCAAGCATCCTGGTTAGGACTGGTCAAAAATTTTCCAGACAAAAAATGGCAATGCCAAATTTTAGTGCCAAATTTTGAACCTAATTTCCCTCTGGGGAAAAGGAAGCAGGAGGGTTGGTGGGAAAGAAATTCCAAAGGGAAATTCCCTCTGGTCCTAATGTCACTTGGTCCCCTGATGGCTGCCTACTGAGAGCCTTGTTATTAGTCTTCATAGAGCTGAAAGTCAAATTACTGGGTTCTAGTTGTAGCTCTGCCAGCATCTAAGGGTATGTCTAGACTACAGGCTTTTGTCGACAGAAGTTCTGTCGACAGATACTGTCGACAAAGCTTCTGTCAACAAAGAGCATCTAGACTACATCCAGTTCTGTCGACAAAGCAAGCCACTTTGTCAACATGACAGTGTAGACAAAAAGGACAGTGTAGATTCAATAATGCCTTCTGTCAACAGAACTGTTGACGAAAGGCGTTATTCCTCATAGAATGAGGTTTATAGCCGTCAACAAAGCTGCTGAGTTCTGTCGACGTTATGTCGACAGAACTCAGCGGCAGTGTAGACGCAGGTATAGTTTTGTCGACAAAAGGCCACTTTTGTCGACAAAACCCTGTAGTCTAGACACACCCTAACTGTGTGGCCTTGCCTTCACCTTGTGAAGAAATCACCATCTGAGAAATGGAGATAATACTTTTGTAAAGCAATTTAGGAGTTTCAGATCATAAATAAAAATGATTATTGTTGTTGTAACTGCAGGGCAATATTTTTGCACTACCTCTACTGGAAGCTGTATCTGCCTTTTTTTTTTTTTTTAAACTAATCACTGATTTTTACAGTAGTGCTGATGTGGAGAGTAATACCTTCATATTTCCAATTCATGATTCCTGCAGGCATGCCTCTCCTAATGCTGTCCTCCAATAATTCTACAAGTGAACATTCTTAGGGGATCTGTTTTGTATCATCCAAGGCAGAGGGGTCCTCACACATTTATAGATGTTTTTTCCAGACACAGCCTGAAACAATTTGACATTTGGACTTGAAGCCACGTCTTTCTGACTGGTTTAAAGGCAGCTGTGATACCATTTGAGTCCTACTAATAATCACCTGCAATGGCTTGCAGGCATGGGTCTCAGGAAGGCTCACTGCATCCCATGGTGGAGCTGAGACTGGGATATACTGAGGTCAGTAACTCAGCAATCCAAACGTGGTGGTAATTTAAAGTTAGAGGGACTGTAGCTTAATCTACAAACATGTCTTAAGCTCCCAGCAAAATGACCTGACCTGATACAATCTGTGTCACGTATTCTGTGCTCATCTCAAATGACACAGCAATTCTGCGTGTCCATCTAGATCAGGAAGGAGATGTTCCCAGGCTCTACACGACCTCCCATGTTTAGACTTAATCATAATTAACTATAAAACTGCAGCAAATGTTTAAAAAGCACTAAATACATTCATGGAGCCATTAGCCAGGATGGGCAGGGATGCAACCCCATGTGCTGAAGTGAGCCTAGTTGATGTTTGCCAGAAGCTGAGAGTGGATGCCAGAGCATGGATCACTCACTGATGACCTGTTCTGTTCATTCCCCCTGGAGCACCTGGCAAAGACAGGATACTGGGCTAGCTGGACCATTGGTCTGACCCAGCATGGTTGTTCTTGTGTTCTAACTGTACCTGGTACAGTTCAATGGATCTCCTTAAATGAAAGCAATATTTCAGACATTGTTCCCAAATGAATTGACCTGATATGAAGAATTGTGGGCAATGGTGGGAAAAAGAGACAGGTGCACAGAAATACTGCAGGTCATCTTTTGTAAAGACTGTAAATAACACACTAAAGGAAGGCTCATCTTTTAGTGTCTGATCAGTGTTTCAAAGGAGCATTCATAGTTTTTAAGGCCAGAAGGAGCCATTAGATCATCTAGTCTGCTCTCCTGTAGGACAAAAGCTTTGGCATGTCACTTAGTTACCCCTATCCTGAAACCAGTAACCAGTCTTCCAGAAAGGCAACCAGTCTTGATGTAAAGTTTTCAAGAGCTGGCATATTTTCCTTAGTAATCCACATTGATTTTTCTCTCACACAAGTGCATATTGGGAGTTAGCATCTCTGAAGCCAGTAGGGAATCAAGATCCAAGTCCCTAGATGACTTATGCCTGAGCTCCTATGCTTCCTCATTGTATCTCTGCCACACAAACATATTCAATGGAGACACAGGCAGCATATCCTATGATAGTACAAGCCTTAAATATTGAGGCCCTTTTTTACAGCACCATTGTTGAAACGTATCACAGGAGGGAGGATGGGGAGGACGTTTGACAGTGGGAGATAATTCTAAGGAGAAGGGGCAGCCTGGGAGAACTGACAGTGGGGAAAAGGAGCCTAGACATACTCTGCACAGGCTTTGCAATTATTGTTTGTCTGTCTTCTCCACAAGAAGAGTGCTAAGATTTTATAGAGGGAGACCGTGGCAAGGCAACCCTGCCACTATCCCCACCAAGGGGAGTGGGGCGTGGATGTAAGGGGCGCGAGCCCGGCGCGAGCGGCAGTGAGCCGAATACCGCCACCCAACGTCAGGGCGGAGGTGGATCAGTGCGCGGGAGCCGGGTGGCAGATGGGGAATGGTGGGATGAGTGTGCAGCTGATCTCTTATTCCTACCTCAGGAATATGTCAAGGCTATTTTTGGCAGGTGAGTAGATGGGAATAAGAGATCCTCCGGAAAAGGGCTTTATTCCGGAGGATCGCGCCAGTCTAGATGCTTTTTTTCCGGCTTTTCCCCAAGCCGGAAAAAAAGCGGCGGACATGTTTATTTAAATCCGCGGGGGATATTTAAATCCCCTGCGGATTTCCCTATCCTGACTTACCTGATTTGCATCCCTTTTCCGGAAATTGTGGCCAGTGTAGATGTAGCCCTAGTGAAATAGTTTTTCCTAATATCCAACCTGGACCTCTCCTCTCCTTCTCTGGGGAAGATTTAGTTAACTTAAAAGTAAAAAGTTTCCCAGGTCTATTATCAGAATATTTAACCTGAGAAAGAACCATTCCAGTGGCAATGAAGTCATTTAATAGTCATGCACCAACCCCAGGTACATGCTATCAGTTTCTGAATTAACTGTGTTAGTCTATAGGACCTTGGTTAAAATATTTCTTTACTGAAGATCATAAAATCACATCTCTAAAACATTGTCATCCCTCCAGGCCCCTGGGGCTGCCATCTGGAGGCACCAGTTTAATAGTTCTGCATAGGCCCCATAAATCGTAAGGACAGCCCTGAGTGTCATCTACTCACCTGCCAAAAATAGCCTTGACATATTTTTACATTGTAAAGACTTTTCCCTTGTGCATCTGCCCAAGTGTTTTCCCTTGCCTCACTCTAGGCCATGCTTTTGCTTGGATGTGCAGATGAAGTGAAATGTCCATCCAGATCCCCTAGAACATAAAACGAGTTAGACAAAGAACACTGCCTTGCAGTGGGCAAGGCTCTTGCTCGTCTCACATTTCCCTTTTAATGTGCAATTAAGCTGGGTAACATTTCTGCTTACCCAAGTTAATCGGCACTTTGCAGGTATGAAAATATTTGCTCTTCCAGGGCGGAGAGCAGCCATTGTTTGCCGCGGCTTGAATTCCTGGCAAATGTTTTCCCATATCTACTTGATTCTCTTCTCCTTTAGGTGAACCATAGCACAAATCCCCGTTTGTAACATAAACACCTTGTGCATGACATGTAGAGATCTGTTCCACGGAGTCATTTAAAAGGAAAGCATTCTTGTAACTGTGTAATTGAACTGTATGCTGATATCCATGTGCCAGGGAACACAAATGTCTTCTAAACTACCCATAGTCTCACATTCCCAGTATTTTTCCAGATGGATTATAGCTGAAATTATATCTTTTATGTACTTACGATGCAACGCAGCAACACACAAGCTCCTTGAGCTCCACAGAGCATTGGGTGGAAAAGTATTTGCGTTGCCAAATCTGTGCTAAGTATTTCTCCTGACAGTGCAGTGCTGAAAAGCTGTGTTGCTCTGAGCTCTGATGGCTACAGTGTTTTCATAAACTGACAGTGATTGATTTACAGAAGTTTTAAACAATCAAGCCAATCCTTTGAATAAATGTTTGCTTGACATTGAGAATGTTTTGGGGTGGGGTTTTTTTTTTTCATGACACAACAAATGAAGTTCAAATGTTGACTGACTGGGACATAAGCAAGGTCAGGCTTACTTTCAGCCTTTTAAAATGAAATGCCTCCTTATAAAGGAGCAAATTGTCTAAAAAAAAATGTTTTGCCAGTGAACAGATGTTATTCTGATTTGTAGTTTTGTTTTAATGAAAAACTTTTCATTAAAGGCACCTCTGTGGCGCTTTCGAATCAAAGTTCTTTACAGACAGATAAGCACCATGAGCCTCATTTTACAGATGAGTAAACTGAGGCTGTGATGAACTGGGGATTGTATTTGCTCTGTTCGTGTCTTATGTTGCATGTGATTTCTACTGTCCTGTACTGTAGTAACTTTGGATGTACATGCGCCTCAGTTTCCCTAGGCACTGCACTGGTGCCCGGATTGGGCTGGGAATTTTGGATGTGACTCTCACAGAGGGGAGGATGCCCCAGGCTACCTCAGCCCAGCATGTTTGCAATGGCCCAGGCTCACTGTAACATAAGCCTGGGAAAAGGGGGTGTAAACAGGTGACAACTTTTGCCCAGGAAGCTGGATAAAGGAGGAAACTGGGCTGCCTGCAGGGCTACGGCCAGTTGCTGAATGTGTGAGTTCATCACAACTGTCTTAGTGTAACTTCTCCCAGGCAGATTTGAACCTGGGACCTCTGAAGCAGACTCTGAAGCAGACTATAGGAGCCTCTACCCTCTGAGCTAAAAGCCAGCTGCCTCCCAGCCCATGCTGTAGAGGTCTTTTGGGCTTAACTGTCACTGTGGTCTAGGTACCACTTGCATTGCTCAGTAACCACACTTCTACACTGGCGTGATCTTGCGCCAGAGCTATGCAAATGAGGCGAAGCGTGGAATATCGCCGAGCCTCATTTGCATATCTAATGAGCCACCATTTTTGCAGAAGAGGCTCTGATTATTTTCAGGAATAACGGCATTGCGCAAGAGGGTTTTTCTTGTGCAAGAAGGGGCAGTGTAGACAGCTCCTTCTGGCTCAAGAGCCTCTTCTGCAAAAATGGTGGCTCATTAGATATGCAAATGAGGCTCAGCGATATTCCATGCTTAGCCTCATTTGTATAGCTCTGGCTCAAGATCGCGCCAGTGTAGACATAGCGTAGGTGTGTGGGTTACATTAGGACACAGGGGCTATGTCTACACTGGTGGCTCCTTGAGCCAGAAATATGCAAATGAGGCTAAGCGTGGAATAGTGCCGAGACTCATTTGCATACCTAATGAGCCGCCATTTTTGCAGAAGAGGCACTTGCACCAGAAGGAGCTGTCTACACTGCCCCTTCTTGCGCAAGAAAAACCCTCTTGCGCAATGCCGTTATTCCTGAAAATAATCAGCAAGAAGCCACCAGTATAGACATAGCCAGGGAGGGGGCCCAGGCTCTCTCCCTCCACAATGTGGATTGGACTGGCTACTTCTGGTCCCTGTGCTAACAAGTCTATTTTACACTGTATCCCTGTGAACTAATCAACCTGCTGTTCTACCTGCTAGCTGAGTCACACCTGGCTGCAGATGGGGGTGCAGGGCCCGGTGGCTCCCCACACCTCGGTGACAGAGGCATAGAACGATGAAGTGTCTTGCTCAGGTCACTAGCCAAGCCAGGAATAGAAACCAGGTTTTTTGTGTCCTAGGCCAGCTCATAGTCCACCAGTCCACAAATTTCAATCAACAAGTCTCTGCCGAAAAATGGATTATAGAAAGCCCGTAAGACAGGAAATGACTTAAATACTATTTGCCAATAATAGCTTTTAAATATCAAGGTGCTCTTCATGGGCCTAGTCCAACTCCCATTAAAGTGGGATTGGGCCATAAGTGACCTCATCACTTCATCAAGCAATGTGTATTATTTAATTAAGGTCTGAGCTGCTCCATGCTGTGCTCTCTCCATCCCCACGAGCTTTGGTGTGACACAAAGACACTTGGCACACCACAGGATCACACTTTTTGTGTTTCAAAATGGGCCCGGGGTGCATGCTAGAGCTCAAGTGTATTCTGTAAACTATACCACCGCATATGCAAAACCAATCATTAGAAGAAAGGGTGTCAATGACACAGCGCAGGCCAGTAATGGCAGCAGAAGACTTATTAATGGACTTAGTAGCACAGCCCATATGAAATACATTCATTTATCTAGATTCTCTCTTGTGTTTTCCCTCTAGATGCCAAAGTAGAAGTTATAGGATAAATTACTGGCAGGAGACAGAGGGGTGAGTCGTATGTGTGTTTATTAGAACTAGTGAGGAAGCAAGCTGGAAACACTATCAATCCAGGTTGAAGAATTTAGGAAGCCAACCAGCTTAAGAAATTCAATGATCATTTTCTATTCGTGCCCTTGGAGCTCAATTCTGCAATGTGCTGAGCTCCCTGTCCATCATCCAACAAAACAATTGAGCATATGCTGTGGAGCAGAGAGAAGAGCGTGATGTTGGATTTACTCCTCCACCACTTCTTCTAGAATGGCTGATGGAGATGGAGCATCTGTTGCCACTAGACAGAGATTGGAGAGATTTGAAACCCCATCATGGCCCCAATTTGGCTGTTGAGCAGCCTAGGGATCATATGGGAAGGCAGAACAAATGCCAGCTAGAAGCAGTAAGATTTCCCAATATCAATCCATGAAATTAGTTAGTTTGGAAACCTGCAGGTAGAAGGGCGTGTTTAGGATTTAAGAATAGCAGGACCCTGGGTCTGGTCCAGTAGGACAATTTCTATACTCCTGTGAACACTGTAAAACTGAAGGAACACCAAGATTCTGGTTAGCCTTTGAGTTAAGTTGTTTAAACTGGGCCTACCCCTTTCCACTCAAAATACTTATTTCTGCTCTTTAATGTAACAAGTTGATCCTCTCTAGTCTGGCACAGCAACATCTGTGATCCGGCATGATTTTAGTTAGCCGGATGTCCACTCATTATGGGTGTGTCCCAGTTTCCCGCAGTCCCATAAAGTGTGTTTACAGGAACCAGTTCTGACTCTGTGTTCTGTTATTTTTGCTCTAGTTTACCCCTAAATGTCTTCTGAGAGCCCAGTAAGCAGTGGAAGTATTGATAATGCTGCTAGACAATATTGACCTCCCGTGGTTCAGCAAATTCTCTGGTTCAGCACCCGAGAGTGCCAGATTAGAGACATTCAACCTGTATCAGCATAAGTGATGGTGGTGGCTGACTCCTTACTAAAAAAAAAACCCCAAACAGGTGAAAAAATCAACCTCCTAGAGATAGCTTCACTAATCTACTCATCATAACCATATCACAGATGTTCTGTGCTTACACTTAAAAAGAGTAATTTTATATGTAGCTGTAAAATAATCCCAAATGACGGCATGTGTGGAAAATCTACATAAATGCTGTAAGAATCCCATTCAAATCTCTAGTTGTGCTTTATAAGAGCAAGCCCCCATCATCCATCTATGCAGTTTTACACACATCAAGAAGTAGTCTAGGATTTTCTTAATGAGTACCCTTTTATATGCGCACAGCTAATCCTTCTGGGCCCAATCCTTTGGGTTTATTGGATTATTTGGGCAAAATTCCCATTGACGTCAATGAGTGTGTTGACCGTGTAAGGGTTTCAGTAGTGAGCCCTGTAATATTCAATATTGTTTTGCTCAAGGTTTTACTTTAAGTAAAATTATAGTATTTTGGATCTGATCCGATTGGTTAGAACTGGAGTGCAGAGCTGTGCCAGCTGAATAGCATAATAATATTGAAGGAGCAGGATCTACAGGCTATCTGCTTATTTTTTTGTGGTACCAAACTGGCTGCCAAAATGTTTGAGCTTTTAACCACATGTCCTGTTTAGTAATTCTACTTATGGTTCTGCAATTATGGTAGGTTTTGGACTAGTTCTGCATTAATTATGTTAAATACATACTCCGCTTATACAACAAATGTTAAGAACCTCTCATTTGTCCCTATATGGCTACATTTCTGAGCTCTGAAAGGTAATTTGAAGGGTTCCGTGCTTGTTTTCTTTCACTAATAGAGTATCACCTTGGACTTTTGAGAGAAAAAGGAGAAATAAACTAATTATCCTAATATACCATCAGGATATCGGACACTTTGTACACTTCAAATACCAAGAGTTTTGTAAAAAACTGAACCAAGACAGAAAACCTTCTTATCTACAGTCTGAACACCAAAAGGCTGGATAAAGAGAAGCCAGCATTTATAGATTTATACTGAGGCTTTTATCAAGGTGAACATATCAAGCAATTCTTAAGCTATTCCTCAGATCAATATCCAACAATAATGAAGAGTTACGAGCTCCAGTTTTCATAGCCATGTAGCCCATCAATCTTTTCACATGTTCAAGTTGCACAGAGAGATCTGGCAGGCAGGACAGGCCTCTAAGTATTTTTTCATTTAGTCCTGTCTCCAGTTAGAGGATTAAAATTAGAAAAAGGATTTCAAATGCTATGCTGAATGCTGTATCTCTAGAACATACCTCCCTGGCAAGTAAATGCAGATTTCTTTCCAATGGGGGTAGTTCTGATATCTGTGGATAACCAATGGGGAAGAAGGATGACCCAGTGGTGGGAGAACCAGCCTAAGCCTAGGGAGATCTGGGATCAAGTCATTACTCTGCACACAGCCTTCCTGTGTGACCTTGGGCAAGTCAATTTGCCTTCCTCTGCCTCAGCTTCCCACCTGAAAATAAGGGTATTAGCATTGTTGCCTTGGGTATTGTGGTGATAAATACACTAAAAGATTGTGAAGTGTTCTATAGTAATAAGGGCCATAGACATACCTATGATAGAGATACATCTTATTTGATAATTTATTTTAATTTGTT